TTTTAATATATGCGCCAATTTTTTTTTCCTTTAGACGTGTTCTTGTAATTTTTGTTTTATATATAACTACACTAATGTTCTTGTATTATTGATTCATTTTATGTAATAATGTATTATGTTGTTGCTTCTAAAAAGTACTACTCTAAAAATATTACATTTTACAAAAAAATATATATATATTTCTGAAGATTTGATGTTTCTAAATAATAATTTATTATTGTTCCTGAAATAACACAATATTATAATTGATATTCTAAAAGAATATTGCTTGTTCATGCATGAAATAGCCCATTTTTTTTTAATAACCGTAGATGTTCGGGCTAACTTGCGTGCACCTTGATTAATCCCACGGGACCTTAAAGTTTACAGTCGGGTACTCACTTCAGTGCCCTGAGGGAAATAACACATTATTATTGACAAGCATTTTAGTTAGATTTTATTTGCTCCCGAAGATCATAATTAAATACAATCTAACATAAATTATATTTTTACTTTTGAAGAATATGTGTTTGTATAATTTATTATAAGACTATGTGATAGCACCTGAATAACATGAATTATAATTTTCAATATTTCAAAATAATTTTAATATATGACTCTTGGAAAACCAATAATACAATACAACATACTCTCGAAATAGCACATGTTTCAAAAAATATATCATTTTGAATATGTTTATCTCTAAAGAGAAACATATAACTTGTGTCATGTTGACATTGATTAGTTTGTTTACTTGCTTAATTATTATTAATCTAGTCCCATACAATGTATCAATGTGTATAAATGGTATGCCATAACCATATAATTGAAATAGAACTAATCTAATAAATATTTGCAAATACATACACAATAATTCATTAATTTATGAATGTGAATTCATTTCTTTTATCTTGATTGTGCTTTTTCTATTTAAGAATCTATAATCTTCTACTTTAATTTGATTTAAAAAAAGTGATTATAATCTACGATTTGATCTTATTCACATTTATCAATAGTATACGCACCTAATGAAAATAATACGAGGGTGATAGTATGAGCGATATGCCATTTGATTATTTTTTGAAGAATGGCAAAAAAAAGTTCGTATCTAGTTTTTACATAGTTCATCAACCACTATTTTGAACAATTTGTTTTAAATAACTGTAAGTAACCATGGCTATAGCTCCTTCTCTTTATTTTACTTCTTTAAAAAATAGAATTTTATTCGAACATTAATTATTACCGAGACATAAAAAGTAACACAATATGATCACAACAGAGTGCACAATTTGAATTTTGCTAAACAACATGAAGAATTTTCTTGCTCAACTTTATTTCGATTGTGATATTTTGTTAATTTTTAAGTTCCTAAAATCTTTTGAAATAATTTTAAATTAAATAAGTAAAGTAATTAAATATATTCCAAACTTAAATTTTAAAAATATATATTCTAAATTTGACCTTATTCACATTTACCAATAGCATGTACACAGAGTGCGCACGATGTAAGATTATTGATTTTTAGAAATTGTTTCATGACAAACACCTTCTTTTCAAACATTACATTAATAATAATAATAATAATAATAATAATAATAATAATAATAATAATAATAATAATAATAATAATAATAATATCTCTTCTATATATAAAGTGGCTATGTAACGGAACTTGTTGTTTTAACGGAAAATCTAACGGAATTTCTTCTTTTAACGGAAAATATTTTTTCACCGTTA